GAACTTATTTGCTTCCGCTTTATTTATCAAACTCGGTTTGTAATAACTTTTATTCGTACTCTGATGATGAAAAGTATCTGTGAACTTTATGTAATATGTGGCATGTATGTTGAATCCTGTACGATCTTGGTTGTTGAAATTCGTTTATCGAGACCCGTCGTGGTACTCGACGGACTACCGGGTTTATATGGGTTCAAGTATGACAGTGCGACCGCTTGCGGATTGCCATTGTACTTGTATTCTTATAAATTGGTCGGTTCTGCGACAATTTGCCTTTCTTAAACTATATTTGCCCAACTCTGCAGGACCATCCTAAAGATGTAGAGTTTCTTAACTACCCTATTAGGTTCTACACTGAGATGGAGGCTATCTTTGCTAATGCCATGGCCATAGGCAAGTTTGCACTTGGGTCTGGTGAAGCCTTAGGGCAGAACCAGGCTAACAGTGTTGGTGCCAAGGCTGATGGTCCTCCTTTGACCCACACCACAGTTCCCAGTGAACAGGGAGGGGATAGCACGGCCACTGAACTGCTTCCTACCTCCTCAACTGTTGGCCCAAAGAGGAAGAGAGGGAGCTTCTCTGAGGAGGAGATGCTCATGTTGACTAACATGTCAGATGCTGTGAACAATGTGGCCAATGCTCTTAGGGAGACTGGACCTTCCCATGTTGATGCCAATCTATACCTTGCTGTGATGGAGATGCCTGGCTTCAGTGAGGAGGCACTTATTGTTGCCTACACCTTCCTCCTGGACAACAAGGCCCAAGGCAGGGGCTTTGTGAACATGAGTGATGCCCATAGGGCCCTTTGGCTTAGGACCTTCCTGGCCAAAAACTACTATGTGTAGTTCCACTACACATGAAGGGCTAGAAGGCTAGGAGGGGGTTGACTGTAGAGATGTATAGTTCCTCCCCCCCCCCTCACCCACTCTCTCTTCTTTTGACAATAGGACCTTTTGTGCAGTCTGCTTATTCTTTTGACACCTGACCTTGATGGTGTAGTTTGCCTAGGAGGATGGCTAACAATAGGCAAGGATTTGGGAACATTTGAGCCCTTGGCTGTTGGGCTGAACTTGGTATTGTAAGAAACTTATTTGTAGCCTCTGTTGGCTACTTTTTATTTGATAACTAGTTGCCTATTTGTGTTGTTTATGCCTCTGGTGGTAACTGTGGGATTTAAAGGCCTATGATGCATAAAACAAACTTGAGGTGGCTACCTTATTCTTGTTTTGATGGTTTTGTTGTTGTGCTTTCTTCTTTATTTGCCTATCCTTCCATTCTACACTTATGCTCAGTTGTACTCCACAGCAACAACATCCTCTTGTGATGGCTGATGACAGTGAGTGCAACTGATCAAAAGGTCTGTATGGCAGTGAGTGCAACTGTTGTTTATTTGCCTCTTTATTTGGTTCTTACAATTCTTGGTAGCTACCAATGACTAAACAAGGAAAAAAAACCACCAAACTACTAAGCTGAGGCTAATTTTTTTATCAAGTAGCCGATGATGTTCACCATCATTGAAACTGAATGGTCGACTGAGGCATGTCATTCAGGCCACTTACATGTTCTACATTTGGTTGGTTTCAGAGAATGCCTCCCTACTATGTGGTATTTGAAGGGAAGAAACCTGAGATTTATTTTACATGGTATGAGTGTGCTAAGCAAGTGCTTAGGGAAGAAGGGGCTATCTATCAGAAGTACAACAACTATGATGATGCTCTTAGAGATTTTAATGCAAGGGTACCTCAAGAACCCCTTGCTGTTACCAATTCATGCCCCTCATGGGGATGCATCAGCATCCCATGAACTGGTGACAGGTCAAGGTTCTGAAATCTATCCTCATTCACCTGGGCTGCAAGGCTGTTGCAAAAATACTGTCATCTTGATCTTGTTTATGGTTGTAGTTGGTCTGTCACTCAAGCTGTTCATGTGCCACAGCTGTTGTTTTAATTAGGCCGATGATGACACAATAGGATGACTGCATTAGCTGGCTACATGCTTTCTGTTAACTTGTTGCCCTTCTCGGCTTGTCAAACTGTTAAATGTTGTATTTTGGCCAATGATGACACAATGGATCGATGCATTAGCGGCTACATATCATTTTTTTGCCTCTTATACATTTTCGTGAACTTTTTCGTTTGTTGGCTTCAAAACTTGACTAGCGGATGTTGCTTGTTCTTCTTCTTGACGACTTTTGATTATCCCATGTAGCCAAGAATGCCATGAATTGTTAAACTAGCATGTCCGAGGCCAACTATTGCATGTGAAACTTTGATTTGTTGTTGTAACGGTTATGGAAGAGCAACCTCATTCTTCTTTCATTCATGTCCATTTCATTTTGTTGTTATGGGCTCTGGCCGACCACAAACCAAAATGACAAACACTATCTCGTGTGTGGCGATTGGTGGCGGTTAGCCTCTCGGCCTATTGCCTCTTCGATGACAAACACAGCCTCGCCTGAGCCGGGCTCACTGGGTACACAGGCGCAAACAAGAGCAGTTGCACCACTTGGGGCAGGCCTACCCAGGCCGGCCAGGTACAGGGTCGCAAACACGCCCCAAATGTATGTGCTGACGCAAGCGGAAAAAACAAAATATTTGCTTTGAGTCGTTATAACTTTTGAACGGTGTATCCATTTTTAATTCTGTCTATACTGGTGTGCTCTACATGACGAGACAAATAAAACTAGACCTCACTTATATATGTTTCAAAAAACTTTATTTTAGAGCAATTTATGTGTAATGTTACTAACATGTAATACTAAAATTGCTACTCCAAAACTATACTTAAGTTGTTACATAGCATACACAAAGTTCGGGGTAAAAATATCAAAATGAGTTACTAGCATGTAATAGTAAAATTGCTACTCCAAAAATATATTAAAGTTTTTACATAGTATGCACGTGCTGAGGAGGCAAAAAATCTCAAAGGAGTTCCTATACGTAATACTAGAGTTATACAACTTGGGGGGCAAATTATTAAAGTAAGCATTGCATAAGTTACCAATCGAGGGGCAAGTTATTATACAACTTGCTCAAATCTACTAGTCTTTTCCTCTAGATAGGTAGCGTGCCCGTGCGTCGCTACGGGATAGCTAACATTTTATACTTAAAAACACACGGATCGCACGATAAGATAACAATACTATAAAAATTAAATATCAATATTAAAGTAACATTTAATCCAAAAAATAAAGTACGTGAAATTAACACAAGTCACGGAGAGCGCGGCGTCGCAGGCTCATAAACTCTACTTTATAGATCTTTTTCGTGATGTGGCTAAGATAATGTTTTATATTGGTCGGAAGAAATCTCCGATATCCATTTCTTTCGTGCGCCAATAAATATCAATGTTGAATATCCGGACTCGGATACGAATAGATCTAAACCCTCTAAACGGATTCGGTCTCGGATACGGTCGAAAAATATCCATACCGTTTTCACCCCTACTCATAACAATGCCTAAATAAATGGATTACAAATTACATCCACCAAGGTTCATATGCAATAGACAAATTATATCCGCAAGGTCCACAGCTCCAACAAGTTAGAAAATAAAAAAAAATCCAGAATTGAAAATTGAATTGTCTTAAGAACTAAAACAAACTAAAGCAGTTTTGCTGAGCCGCTAGTGGTCGTGCTTGTCTGAAATTAAACTACATGTTGATCAACATTATTGGACGAAATGGTCTATTTAAATGGCCACATGATACACCGTATGTTTGAACAAACTGTATAAGTTTGATAGCTGCTGCTCCAAGGCCCTGCAAATGATAATATGTCAAAGAAAGTTAACCTTCCAAACTAACAAATATGCATTAAGGGAGAAAATACAAATAGTCTCTGTTAAAACTGGCAAAAAAATAATAATTGCAGTAGGAGCCACTGGCTCCTCCTGATTCTAAAAAAAAGTTTGAGACACATGTATATACATGCTTTAGAAATAGGTTTTCTTTCACTTTGCTGGCAAACCAGTGCAGCTAATAAAAAAAATAGATATGTAAGGTCCCTAGCTCCAACATGTTATGCATGGAAATTATGCTGACAACACCTGGCAACCATGACCTGTAAGCGCATACAACCATAGGCAAACAAATTATCCAGTCTAGGGATTCAGCATGTATGAGATGCAATAATTCAAGATAAAACTTATTCTTCTTTTTTTGCACTTCAGTAAGGTTCCATGTCGGCAGCAGGAAAATATGATCATAGGAGAAAAAACATAGCTACTTATGCATGACTCTGATGGCACTTGTGCACACAGGCAATCAAGATGTTTGGTTTGTTGGGCACTGCATTGAAAACTGCGGTGGTTGATTATACAAGATAAAAACATTGAATGCAAGTGAATCGTTAAATGGAAAGAGGACTTATTATGACACTAAACTGACTTATTAAGACACATAACTACAGGCAATCACTTTAACCATATTTGTGTTCATAGCTCAATAACCTTGCAAACAAACCAAAACTCTGGATCGGAACTCATGCTATGACATAATGGGCACCTTGTAACCCAATATACTCAGATATGATGCAACTTAATATTGTCATCTGGGGCTTTTAGCACAGATGGAATTTTCTTCATTTATTTTTTGAATGAATGGGCATGACATGATTCAAATGTCATATAACCTCGAATTACCAGATGGAATTAATAGATGGCATTACATATGATTCAGAGAAGCGTTGCATCATATATGATTCATGTATAAGATAACTTCGCTGTGCTAGCTACGATAAAAGTAAAAAAAAATAGTATTTTTCTACGCACTTGTGGGCTAAATCTCTTTCTAATGCTAGCCCAAGCCTAACAACTCTTAGGCTAAATTTGCTCCTGATGCTAGCCCAAGCCTCAACCTCCTCTTGGACCGAAGCTAACCCGTGGCCCTGCTCCCACATCTCCCGTGTACCTCTCCGCACGTGGGCCAAGCCCATTGGCAGCCTCCTCCCTCCCTTGACCGAGGGCCACCCGCCGATACTGATAACTGGTTGCCTTGATAACTAGTTGTTAGTTGCCTTGTTATTGGCTTTAAGTTTTCCACTACCGTTAAGATCCATTCTTTTCATGTTAGCTTTCAGAAACATCAAAGAGCTGCAATAATTTGAAAATACATTGTCAGTTCACAGAAAACTAACAGGTTATTTAAAATCTGACATCCTATGAATGACTGTATAGATAGGCTACGAACGAGGGCTGTCCATGCGCCTTGAACAGATCATCATATGTAGGACAACTCTGAAAAGAAATTGAGACCAAAGAATCAGACAGACATAAAAATTTAATATTTAATGTTTGTTTATTAGCAACTTTAGGATTACATCAGACATGTACATGTTTATAAAAAAAATATTTGTAAAGAGAAATTAAAAAATAACATGCCAATTTCATATCAAAGTCATCGTATTAATCGATTCCACACAAATTCAATTGCCAAATATGTACCTTGTGTTTTAAATATCTTACCATGGGCAGGCTGAGTTTTTTCCAAATTGGCTAGTATTGTTCAACAGGTGCATCGCCCAGTAGTGGAAGAACACAAAAACCACCAACCAGATAACGATAATCATCCTGTAGGGATTAATTCGGCTTGATGGTAGAGACTTATCTGGACAATGCATGGCTGTCGAGCTTCACTGTTCTGGACAAAAAATTTATAGAACAATTTAGAACCACATGCATCATACTCTATGAAAAGAAATGACAAGTTTTCGCTATAAAATACTACATTGCAGATGACTTAAAGACAACATCTTACTATGCAATATACAGGCAACGACCATGATAAATATCATTAAGATGATATGAAGCAACAAATAAACCACACAAATGATTCCATATATATATGTGATGTATCATCTTAGTCTACAAATTCAGCATTACATAAACGGTTGAGCTTGCATTCTGGATTCTCTCCAACTCGTATAGCTGTACACCATCTAGCAATGTAGCAAGTAATAACAAAGGTACAAACATACTTGCAGATTTTAGATATATTGTGATTAATACCATAACCTTTTTTTTACTAATGAAATTGGATATCTAGAGATTAGCAGTTTAATCAAGTGAAGAACACACTCCAGTAGCGCATTATCACTCTAGTAGCACTGTAGCATATCTTACTTGCTCTTGCTCTTGCTCCATATTACATATCTAATGCACGCTGCTAGCATCAACTACAACTTCTATACGCACACAGACTCTAGTGCACCGTCAGCACTCAGCACCCAAAGGAAATAATTAAGCACGCTGCAACTGCTAACAACCAACAAACAAGGCTGGATGAGCACGCTCTTGTTTATGCTTCCAGACCTCCTTCCACGTTGCCGTAGTTCAGTAGTTGTAGGAAGACAGATCTTCGACGGGTCCATGGATCTCGTTTGCACAGCAGCGACACCAGATCGTGGTTTGACAATAGCAGATTCTAGCATTGAATAGTCAGATTGATGGATTAGTAGGGCATCTAATCTAACAGCACACAAAAATCAGCCAGAAACTGAACATATGGAAGAGAGAAATATTCAGACTTGGTGGATGGATTGCTCACCAGTGAAGATGAAAGAAATCCATATCCGGACTGGTGGATCTCCACTTTAGCAGGTAGAGGAGATGAGCATCATGGACCCACGGGACCTCGCCGTTGATTAAGAAGGCCAAGGACCTTGTGCTTGCTCTGGGTGCCGTGAGCTAGCGCCGCCCCAATCCCCCGTGGCGCAATCGAGTTCGCGTCGGACGGCACCCTTCTCCTCTCACACCTTGCCGATGTCGATGACGGTGGAGGACCCATGCGACTCCGCCTGATCCAGTCGCGGGGCGTTGGAACGCCTCCCCTGCGAGGTCGACGATGGGCAAGAGATGGAGGCGGCCAGGCCGGATTCAGCCATCGGTGAAGGATCCAGGCAGCGGCAGCCGACGTGAGGCGCAGGGGGACATTGCCGATGTGAGGCGCAGGGCGATGTGACCCCGTCTGCCGTGGCCTCCCGATGCCTGGAGGCGGCGCGCCTGCAGCGGCCTCGCGTCAACCGGCGGCGGCTAGGGTTACACAAAGGCCGAGGAGTCGCGTGGGGGGAGATCATGGGCGAGGGCACCAGGAGGGGGGGCGGAGACGCGTCGGGGCGAGGGTTGGGGGACTCGCGGGATCGCAAGCTTGGAGGAGCTCCCAGCTGCCGGCACTGCGGGATCACAGGCGTGGCCAGACGGACAAACAAAAAACAAATGTCGCACAAAAAATGTCCACGCTTTGTTCTTTTTAGTTGCAGGAGGATATTGTAGACAAGTAAATTAGCATATTTTCTACAGCCTGCTACGGCTAAGAAGATGGCAAACAACACGAAATTCATAGGTGTGGATGTAGCATATGTCATGACTGTGGAGCAGACATTTGTTGTGTGGCTGTAGATTTATTCTAACTGGTGTATTATAGGGGTGGTAGATAAGCCTAAATAAGCGAAAGTATAGTACACCACGCAATAAGGAAGAATTGCGCAATTTATATAGTAGATAGCTACATTATGAAATTATCTTCAAAAAAATATTATATTATTTGGTCAGGCAAGCCCATCTAGCAGAATAAACAAGAATACAAAATAACTATCTACTGCAGGAACAAATATATTCTTTGTGCAGATACACCAAAATCGGTACCATAAAAACAAATGACTATCAAAGTATGAACTGTAGGAACAAACATATTTTAGCAAGGCCAATAAAAATATTTTAATGTATCTAGTAGCAAAAGGACTTAAGTCTAAGATATTTTAGCAAGGCCAATAAAAATATTTTAATGTATCTAGTAGCAAAAGGACTTAAGTCTAAGTTCAGTAGCCCTAAGCTCGATCTAATTTTTTATAACTTCTTGATAACAACAGCAGTTCGTTTAACTTACACAGAGCTACTTGTGTGCTGATTCAAGTCCACCAACAGCTGGTGTTCGCCACTACAAGTACGGGCCACTGCAAAATTTACAAAGCATCATTGACCATTATTCTGATTTGGGAACTGCATCACCATCTGACCAATGATTAGTAGTGGAGCACTCAAAATACGTACTGCTACCAATTTCGTTGGTTAAGGATCAGACACAATCATCAGCGCATTCCATAGGCAATGAAGGGGAGGCAAAAAAAGAGAAGGAAAGACCACGTACCAGCACGAACGGGGTTAATGCTCATCTCGCCACCCTTCATCCTCGTGTCCACTCAGCAGTCGCCACCTCTCGCCATCCAGGAGCCAGATCCAGGCCGACCGCGCCAGATCCGCCATATGCACTGCTTCTCACCATCCCTGGCCTGGCCGCGACCGTGACCAGGCAGCAGCGGCCGACAGAGGGCCTGATGCCACCATGGTCGCGGGGAGCAGGGCCATCGTCGGTCGAGGGGAGCAGGGCAGCTTGATAATGTGCTCCACTGGAGGAGAGAACACCTGAAGAGCAGCTAAAGAAAAGATGGGCACAATATCATCATTCATAAATATGCACTTTTCTTTGTTCACAAATAACCCAATAATTTTGTCTCTACAACAAAACAAGAACAGTGCATGCACTTTTCCAGACTTCATTCATTCAAGCATATATCAAAACTGCATCTGAATCTGAAATAATTGAGGCTGCAATGGAAGCAAACATCCATGAAAGCTCTAAGAATCATGATCAATGTACAGGAAACATGGCCAGGTTGTGAGACAAAAGTCAACAACTAAAGACTCGAGGGATAAACTAATACACGAGCATGTGACATACGTGCCGCTGAACATTGGATTGGACATAGTAATCACAGGGTCATCTTGACAAAACAAACAATTGTAGGTATGTTTTTCAATTCATGGCTGCAGCCTATTTTCAGAAAGAACTCTCAAGGCAATATGTAATTTCATTTAGAAGCGGATAACAGATAGCAATATCTGCTAATTCACAGGCAAAGTGTCACACAGCCCACCATCTTGCAGTACTAAAATTCCATCTGTTAGCGCGAGAGTACTAAAATTTCATATGATGTGATAAGATGCATCCTCTCTGAATATATCTGTCAAAAAACTTACATATTAGTTGCAGAGAATTTTCAGAACTCTAACCATTAGAGATCAAATTGTTTTCTTTATTAGACACTTCCCTAGTACCTAGCGAAGTGAATTAATGTTGAGTTCCAGCTTCTTCAATTCGTCATTCATGCTCAAATTAGTGGGCTGTCTATCTCACAGATCTAATGAATTTCTCCCCCATCCTAAGAACTGATTCAACTGAATGAGCATGTGCATGGATAAAAATGAGCAAACGGTTCAGGAATTTTAGTGTGGGAAGGGAGAAAGGAAGGACCTTGCACTGCTTCTAGGAGAGGAACTGGCGAAATGCGCTGGGGAGATGGGTTGCGCCCTTGCCGTGGTCGCGGGCTCACCGGCGGCGTGCTGTGGTGGGGGATTACCCTCGGCTTCTGCTCCCATCCAATGCTCGCATCAGACCCAGAGAAGATCAAGGCGGCACATCCTACACTCGAATAAACGAATCAAGTCAAGAAGGGAAGGGAAAGAAGGAGACGATGCAAATGAGGGGATAGAGAAGGGGGTCTTGAGGAGGGGAACCTGGATCTACCACTCGGGCGCCTAGGTGGCGGGGTGGTGGCGGCAGCCGGTTGGAGGCGCTGGGTCATGGAGTAGCAGTGTTGGAGCGCCGGGAGCGTGCTCCGGAGCTCGGGGATCTCGTCGCAGCTGAAGCCGAAGCCCAGGTCAACGCATCCCTTGAGCTCCTCCAGGTCGTCGTCCGTGAGGCTCCTGGACCTCCCCACCGCGTCGTCTCCACCCGCGAACACGACGAGTTTCGGGTCCCGCCGCCCTGGCCACGCCGCCTCCCACTGCGCCCCGAGCCACACGTCCTCCGCCTCGGGCCCGTCGACCGACTCGACGGCCATGGCCACGGCGCTGCGTCAGGGTGGTGGGTGGCGGCGGTGGCTGGCCAACGTAGGTGCCAGGACGCCAAGGTGGCGGCGGCGGGCGTCTGGCCCGTGCGCCGGGGTGGAGGCGGTGGATTTCCGGTGGCCAGGCGGCAGGGCGCCGAGGGACGTCGGGCGGGCGGTGACGGCGGCGGGCGTCACACAGACGGGTGGGCGGCGGCGTGTCGGTGGGGAGCGGGAGTGAGGTTTCCAGGGCGGGGTGACTTCGGGTTTGGAACTGAGGCGTGGGGGCGAGCGCGGGCGAGGGCACCCAGGGGGGGCGCGGCCAGAGAGGCCTTCGTGGCGAGGGTTGGGGACTCACGGGATCGCAAGCTTGGAGGAGGTCCCACCTGCCGGCGCCGCGGGATCGCAGGTATGGGCAGACGGACGAACCAAAACAAATGTCGCACCAAAAGATGTCTACGCTTTGTTCTTTTTTAGTTGTAGAAGAATATGCTGGCAGCTACCCCCACTCAATCGATCCAAATCTGCTCCTCCTCTTCGTCGATTTGGTCCTCCTCCCCGCAGATTGGTTGCTCCTCTCGGCACTAAAACATATGTATGCATGTAATATTGAAATTGACAACTAGAAAAAATTACTAAAAATAAAAAATAAAAACTGAAAACTAAAGTAGACAAAATGAAAACAAAAAAGACCTAAAACTGAAATAATGAGAAACTGAATGAAATTGACAACTCTAAAACTGAAATTACCAGAAAACAAAACAGAAATCGACAACCACAAAATAATTTAATTGAAAAAAAGAACATGAAAACTAAAGTAGACAATGAAAAATAAAAAATTTAAACTAAAATTACCAGAAACTGAAACTGACAACCAGAAAATAAATCTAAAATGATAAATAGAAACAAAAAACTAAAGTAGACAAAATAAAAAACAAAAGAATGAATCTGAAATTAAAAAAGAAAATTAAACAGAAAAAGACAAATAAAACCAAAAAACTAAAGTAGTCACAATGAAAAATAAAAAGCTGATTATTTCCAAAAAAACAAAAAAAATGAAACATAAAACTAAAATTGAAAAATGCAACGAGAAAATTTAACTGAAATTAATAACTGAGACTAAAAGGAAAAAACTAAAAAATGACACTCATAAGTCATTAAACTAAAAAATAAAATAATAACCCATTAAATTGAAAGGAAAACTAAAAAAATGAAACTCAAAACCCATTAAACTGTACCTAAAAGAACACTACAAGCTACATGACCTTGTGTGTGGCAAGTTTATTTTCAAAGCATGTAGCAAGTTATATTTTAAGCAAGTGACTAGTTATCTTGATTACCACTATATAAAATACATAAGTAGCTACTTTACATACAATATAAGTTACCATTATATAAAATATATTCCAAAATATAAGCATCATGGGTCTAGTTCTATAAATCTCATCATAAAAACATAATGATGCAAATAAAAACTAAAAAGAAAGTTATCGCATTTTTAAAAGAACAAAGCAAAACAAAAAAAATGAGTGGAGCAACCTACCTCAACACTCCAGCAGCCGCATGGAGTGTCGTATCATGCATGGCCGGAAACCAGGCTGTGTGGGCACGGATTGAGCAGGTGGGCCAGGCCGCATGAGCGCAGGTCGCGCACTTAGGCTGGAGTGCGACCTGTCGTCGGTTAGACTTTGCGTTTTTACTCGGCCAGTAAGCTCAGCGAACTAGGCTTTCTTGGGCCGAATAAACATACAGCTGGATGGACGGGTGTATTGATTGTTTTGACGATCTTGCCGTTGGTTAGCTGATGAATGGACGGATGAAAACTAAGTCCCTCAAACATGATTGCACTATGTTAGAGGATCTCGTTCCGTGGGGGGCAAGTCTGAGGGCACGGCAGGGATGGGCGGTGGTAGTGTGAGCTTTGGCCATGGCAGTGTCACGGACGTGACGTGGTCATGGGCCAGCACGCGGATGCGAGCGTGTCCACGATTTATATATATGATATATATTCTGCAAAAATATATATATATGGTATATATGTGGGCCCCATAGTTAAAGGGAAAGAAGCACATGTTTGTATGACAAGTCAGCATAGTTAGCGGGTTAACTCATGTGCTATCTCGTCTATCCCATCTCTCGACCAAACATGAAAATAGAATCACTTCATTCTTGAACCATTCCATCCTAAAAGCAAAGATGCAAACATTCCACTTTTTTACTCGTTCTCCGACCAAACACCCTGAAATAATACTGTGCAGTGCGAATTATGCGACCTGCCAGCATTCGTACGCCTGGTGGAACCTCAATTGGCCGATCGCAAGTCCATTAGAACATAGTTATTCGATCAACTTAATCTGTGGCTCAATATTAAGAGCACACCCAAGTTAGCGGTGGATGGTTTAGGTTTGTATTAATCAAAATCACAAGCCTTCTCCGCTACACAAAATCAAGCTGGCTCGAGTGCGCAAGCGGCGTTTAGTAGAGCACCGGGTAGCTTCTACTATGGCTTCATGCGCACTGTAGCAAGATGTTTCTCTTTTCTCTCTGACACTTTTCTTCCAAAATAGACTACGCCAATGTTATTATAATTATATTTTTTTGCTTCACTGGCTCTGACCCTCCATGTGTTGTAGCATCCGCCAAAGCCATCGTGCCAAAGAAGGCCTAAAGCTATTTATGGTAAATTCAAGGGATCCGGAGCTCTGCATGAGCACGCTATGTGTTCCCTTGTTATTGCCTGCCAATCGCAGGACGTGATCACCGGCAACAGGAAAACAGGAGAACAAAGCCAGTCACCCTCAGCTAGCCTCTAAATCCAATCCGTACCCGTCACCTTGGCTGGATGCCGCCCCTGGCCCTCAGCCTTTCCCTGGCGAACTCGCCGGAGACCGGCGCTCGCCTGTGTCGCGGCACCACCGGCGCCCCAAACTCCTGCTGCGGTTCGTCCTGGGCCCTATGTTTCGCCAGCGGCTCCTCGCCAATTGCTTCGTCGTCTGCTGATTCCTGTGCGTCCTCCACCGTGCTGCTGCTCCAGCCGAACTCCACCATGCGCTGCTGATAGCACTTCATGGCCACCACCAGCATGAACACCGCCCAGATGCGCGCCACCGTGGACGAGACGTTCCAGACCAGGGTGAAGACGGCTGCCACCACAGCCTTCTTGTGGGAGCACGACTCCCAGGCGTCCCTCAACCTCTCTAGCCAAAACTTGCCTGCACGACAAGGAAATCATCAACCAATAAGCAGTCGAAATCAGCGCCTAGTTTGAAACGGGCCGGGGAAAAAAATATGTCCGTATGTCCTCCCACGTTTACGTTACTCTACTTTTTTTTTTAGCGGAAAACATTGCTGTACTTTTTAGAGAAATTGAGTACTAGACGAGCCATTATGGTGGCATTTTTCCCTTTCATGGATGGTCAGGTGAGGTGCCATATGATGCCCAACTTATTGCCGTTTGCTTCCTGCCTGGTCAGTAGGGTTCCTGATGTGCTTTTCGCCTTTGCACATGCTATCATGGAGCTAGCTAGATTATTAAGTCCGGACATGTGAAAGCAGTAGGGTCTAGTTTAAGTGTCAGTGCCCTGGTATCATGAAAAAGTTTACATACATGCATGGAAGGGAACCAAGCATAAAGTTCACAGCATCATTTCTTTTACTGAACTTGTCCTCTTTCTACAATCATCAGTAACACCGATAATATGGCACAAATGTAGGCAGTACTTCTAAGCTACATTATCATCAACTTTGATGGAAAAAGAGGGAATCCTTTGAAACACATGAATTTCAAAGGAATCGGTTCAATATATAGAAGTGGGATTTGTGAAAAAAAAACAAGTTAAGTCTTTGGACAGTGACGAGCCATCTATCATCTTCACTCACTGACGCGATGGGATTTGATGACTCTGATAGATGACTAGTGGCAGACTTAACGGAATTCTTTATCACAATCAGCTTCGTTCTTAATCACATGTTGATGCTTCCACTTTATTACGGCTGATCTAATTAGTAAGGATGACTCAAGGTTTTCCTCAAAATTATCGCTCAAATTAAAGGGCATCACGACGCTAAATAAAGAATCGAAGTGGGCAAGTGGCAGACATGGTAGCCCAACAACATCACACGGGAACGGGGAAACATCTATAATCCGGTGTGGACATGAGGTTGTTGAGATGGCAGGCAACAAGTATGACACGCACGACTCACGAGCCTAATTGTTGTTTATATCTTTTTGTGGACCAAATGCTGATGGGTTGGTGAGCAAACACCAAAACAGATGACCCTACAAACAGAGGGGACAGCTAGCAAGGATGGGAGACCAGATCTAGGATGTGAAATGGCTAGTACTAGTGTGTTTCCAGGAGACTCTGCTACAACTGCAAAAGGGCAAAGCTAGGAAGGTTCAGTACTGGCAGTAAATATCATGCCCTGTGGGTGAAAGAATCCTGAACAATAGTATTTTCATAGTCTTGCTTAGCAAAGGGAATTCAAGACTGCAGTTTCGTCCTGTAAATTGCAAACTTATTCTATAGCGCACAATGTAGCAATAATAACAGTTCATACGACTAAAATATCCCTTACCAATAGAGTAGTACATAACAAAACTACCCATAAAGTTATGAACTACCCTTAAGCAATAATAAAATATTATTGTTTGCTACTCCTCTCTCTCTCCCTGGCTGGAAGGGTGGAAGAGTTTTTCTTTATCTTTGAGGGAACCTACACTACTGGTTGGCTGAATATTGTGAAAAAATAACAGGTTATGGACTGTTCACGTGGGTCTTATGTATATGAACTTATATGTACTAAGTCCATATATATTGTAGTTGCCCTTAGTGATGCGAGTGTCGGATTAAATAAGTTACTTTTTCTTAGCTACTCCTAACCAACCAAGAAGATTGTAATCAATCAATCTTAAATTTAATCATAGGTCATGATCACATTTTATGCCATAAGTTTGTGTTTAAAGCTGGTTAAGGCCATCAAAGAGCTAGAAGACAAGTTCAGGAGCAGGTTCACTAAGCTAAACAAAGATGGCACATTACTGATGGTGCCATTGGAGCAAAAAAAAGTCTTCAACATCAACTTCTATGTATTCCCCCAAGATTGACTTGGTGGATGCACCCACACCTGTTTTACATGTAGCTAATATTGTGCTATCCACATAAGGTCATGTTTGGATGCACGTGTATCTACTTTAATCCACATGTATTGGAGTGGATTGGAATAAAAATTAGTTTAATTTCATTTCAATCCACTTCAACAAATATGAATTGAGATGAATACGTGCGCATCCAAACAAGGCCTAAAGTAATTTTAAAACTAACCTAACATGGTTTGGTTACTAAACTAGTCCAAAGAGTAAACAAGGCTTGTAGTCCATGACACCAGCGATGAGATGAGAATAAAGTAACACTACTGTAGTCGTTTGGAAAGATTCTCTTACTTTTTTGCCCCCATTGAACGAAAGAATACGAAAAGGCAAGGACACAAGGAGGTGTGGGCTCACAGCTCACTAGGGACAGCATCCATCAGTTTCGTACCGTTCGAGCATGGGCCACAGTGACAATCAACCTCTCCTTGACCAGTCGAAAAACGCTCGCATGTGCAAAAGGTAGGAGGAATAACCGTGCACGCTCGCAACTACTACGGGAAGTTACTTGGGCTAAGGGCAGGCTGGCTGTAAGTTTACAGCCGACTTAGATACAATAACTGAAAAACTCTATAAGAGAGAGATAGACGGACCATATATTAATGCTGAAGAGCTAACTATCATACAGGTGGACTGAGAGGTATTCCCTCCGCCCCCTAAATGTTAGTCGCCACGATTTACGTACTGATAACTTTAACTCGATTTATAAAAAATACGTGCAACATTTCTATCTCCAAATAAATTTATAAAAAAACTAGATTCAAATATCTATCAATGATACTAATTATGTATCATAAATATTAATATTTTTTAATATATATTTAGTCAAAGTTGTTTATCGGGAAACGAAAATGACAGACATTTGGGGACGAAGAGAGTAGACTGTAAGAATCCTTGCGGCCAGCAATCGGCTATATTATTAGCCTGGCTCTAATATAACTTTTGCTTTGCCTCGAATCCCAATCGGCGTGTTCGCTGGTGGGTTTCTGGGCTGGTTTGGGCTAGCTGGTTGCGAGAGAAAAACACTGTTGGCTGGTTGAATAAGTCTGACTGAAACCAACAAACGAACAGGATGAATAAGTGATCATTTACTTTTACCAACAACACCTAGGCCTACACTGTCACTTCTACTAGTTTATTAGCTAACCTAGGTTGAAGAATGCAAACAAGTAATGATTCTCTTTGGAGATGGTAAACATTAAAGTGTAGGTCAAAAATCATTCTTCGTTTATACATCATCTTGTTGTCTGTATAAGGATAAGGCCTTGTTTGATACAAAGCATTTTTAAAGTTTTAGAAAAATACCATGGTTTTATGAAATACTTTATTTTTAGAGTGCCATGAAGTGTTTGGGTACAACAAATTTTATGGTTTTGAATACCATGATATTGCTGAAACAGTAGTCTTTTTTACCCTGTTCGTTGGTTGGTGCTGGCGCTGGTTTGGACTGGCTGATGCTGGTTTTTTGTGAGAGAAAAACACCGTTGATTGGTTGAATAAGCCTAGCTGAAACCAACAAGCGAACATGGTGCGAACATGGTGTTTGAAGTTTTAAAAACTCTACTCTAGACTTTTTTTTTCTCAAAACCACAGTTTCACACATCAATGGTTCTAAAACCATAATTTCTTGATACTATGATTTCTTAATACTACAATGTCCAAACAGGGCCGATATTCTAGTGTACTAACAATAAAATTTTATCTTGCTCTTCTGTTTCCTGCCCTAGTTTTATTGCATATGACAACTCTCTTGAATCTTGTGTCAAATTTAAATCCATACTATGTGGCTGAAGTGGAGAGCTTTATCACTTACTACCTTCGTCCACAAAAGAATGTAATTCTCGTATTTCGAGAAGTCAAACAATTTAGACTTTGACTTAAGTTATATAAAAAATCACTAAGATTCTTGATACAAAATATGTATCATTAGATTAGCGATAGAATATATTTTCAAAATAAATTTATTTGAAGACATAAATATTAATATTATTTATTGTAACTTTTGATCAAACTCGAGTTAATTTTATCGGCACGGATCCTATAATTGCATTTTTTATGGACAAAGGAGTTAAACACTTACCGTATCGTGCCAGCTGCGTGGAGTAAGAGGAGCACACCTTCGGGATGATGAAGACCCCAAAGAACACTGCAAACGCAGCCAGAACAAAGGCACGAAAAGTCAGTGACTGCAGTACTTCTCCCTGCACCTTTATCTGTACATGTAGAGTTGTTCACGCTCCTGGTCTCAACATACATTTCCTATGGTTAAAGCTAAAGTTACTGCATCATGACTGTAACAAAACTCTTCCTGAAAGGCTAAAAATACCCTTCCCATGGCTTGGCTCTGAGTTCGGATCTTTCGGTTTCTTGTTGAAATGAAGAAACAAAAGAGGTTCCCAGGGGGAAAAGGAATTACTCCGAGAGAAGGGAGTGAAAGATGTTGCATGGATGGTAATGCAGAGTACTACTTACCCAGTTTAGCCAGTGTCCAGAGGGTGACAAAATTGCCACACCGGGCCATCGCAAACAGTAGAAGTGCCAGCTGCAGATCAGAGCACACGTGTCTACTTGTCAGTACAAATCCAGAGATGCGCGTCGTCTATGCATTGCAGGCATCTATGCCAGATACTACCAGATAGTACAGTGTTTTCTTCTTCTTTTTGCCTAATATTCACATGAACACACAGCACCTTTCTCCGTTTTTTTACCTACCTTCATGGTGGTCGCAGGCTCACCGGAGAAGAGAGACCTCAGATTCAGGAGCACCTCATTGATGTATGGCAGCACCAGCCTCAGCAGCCAGATGGCCTCCTCCTCCCCAACCAGGTAGCAACTCTCGCCAATGCCTTCATCGTCACACTCCACATTTTCACCCCTGCATTTTTACCCAGCAGTGAAAAGTTACCATGGTTAATGACATAAGAAACGATTTACTTTGAATTTGCTTGCGCGTGATTATGCTGGTCCTCTGAGGAGATTAGCCTTTTACCTGTTCAGTATGGACTTCCGCAGGAACCGTAGACCAAGGTAGATTAGGCCTGCATATGACGCTGCCGTGATTATGCTGCAGAGTTACAGGTCAACGCTTTTAGATTCTGGTAACTTCAGAGTTACAGGTGCAGCAAATGTTGAACAGCGAGTTACTTGAAATTTAGGTCTTTGGCGTAGGAGGAAGAGATGAGCAAGAACGTCCCTAATCCAAACACCAGTGCAGACTTTGACACGTCTCTCCACATCACCAAATTCACTGGGAAACCAAGGGGCAGAAAGGAAATGGAAGAAGAACCATCAGACCCTGACTGATTCTTGAACTAGCATATCAGATTCTTGGTGTAGTTGGGAACAAAAGCATATCGATTGGTGTCATGGAGGCTGACATTACCAATATTCTGCATTCTTGCTTGACTTCTGCTGGGTTGAGATGGTCTTCCTTGAATCTCCTCATACTCTTCAACTTCAAACCAAGACAATTAATCGAAAAAATAATAAAACTTGACGACAAACAGGTAAATGCTACTCACCAGGAGGACTGCTGGCAGGCTGTGTCTTCGGAATCTGGCGGCCAACCGCCGGCAAAGCTTTCTTCTCTGGATATATATATAAGTAATAGAAATAGATTGCATAACTGGAGAGCCCACAAACTAGGTGATGCTAAAATTACATCTAGGCTGACTTTTCAGAATCAAAGTTACCTGGAGAAGCAGGTTTTGCCGGCTCGAAGTTGGTCATGCGGTGAACCACTATCGGTGTCGCCTTCTTCTCGACTGCATTCCGGGAGGATCGGAGCAGCGAGTAATGTGAGACAGAGATTGAACTGAATTAGCGTGAGTTTTGCATTTGGTGGAATAGAAATTCACCTGGTGGAGGGGTCATGGGTTCCGGGTTGATTGCTCGGAGATCGACCGCCGAGGCTAATTTCTTCCCTGGACCATCCACGAACAGAAAATTAAGACCGTATTCGCGGGTCGTTCATATATGGATCGAATCCATCGCAGCCAAAAATGCAAAAAAGGGCGAAGTGATCGAAGGACTGAAATTCACCTGGAGGCGGCTTCGCCGGCTCTGGGTTGGTCGCTCTCCTTTCTTCCACCAACAGCGTGGGCTTAATACCTGCTACATCGCGGTGACGATGCAGTTGGGAGCCAAGAACACAACAGTCAGGAAATGAAACTAAAAGAAAATGTGGAGGAGAAAATAGGGCAAAATTGGCAGAGGACCTTTTGTCGGTGGCTCAAGATCTTGCTCGTCGTCGTCATCCACTGCAATACGGCAGCAATTGAAGAGCACAGTGACATTATTAGTGAGTTCATCGACAAGTGAATCTGGCAAAGACACTACGACAGTGGGGGAAGTAACTAAGGATTCTTGCCTTGGTCCAAAGCAGTTTGTTCGTTGTCAATGGCCATATGATCCTGATCCAGCATCTCCTTCTCCTCCTCCTCTGTCTCCAACTCCTCGTCCAACAATTCATCCTCCGCGTCGTCGTCGTCCGACTCCTCATCTGGTTCTTGCACCACGTTCTTGGCGTCTGCCGCCGCGGCCTTGTGCACTTCCACGACCACCACCTCCTTGACCTCGCCGGCGGCCGCCGCGGGCGCCACCTTCTTCTCGGGCGTGGATACCCGCGCCACGGCCCGCCTGGCAATCACCGCAGTGGTGGTGGTGGCCGTCGTCACGGCGGCGGCAGCGTCGGAGCGCGACTTGCGGAGGTCCCCGATCGCGGTGACCGGCTCAGAAGCCTTCCAGCTGCGCCTCTTCTTGGCGGCCGCGGCGGTGGCGGCGCCCGCGGCAACGGCGCCGTTGCCCTCGCTCTGGTTGCGGCGCAGGCGGCGGTAGACCCGCATGCCCTCCTCGTCCGCTGGCTCGTCCGCGGCGCCGGCGCTGAAGACCTTGACGCCGCCCTTGACCTCGTCCATCTTCATCCGCGCCTCCCACACCGACGACGCAGATGTGGCGCCGGCGCTCCTGGTGGACTGCACCGACACGCGCCTCCGTCCACCGGTGGTGGCGGTACTGGAAACCGTGCCCCCCGGCTGCATTGCTTTATGCCCTGCTGCTGGGCGTCGTGGTTGTGCTCGTGCTCTGCGCTTGGTTGCTTGCGCTTGGAGGCTCCTGGTCCGGGTGCTCCCTCCCTTCTGGTGGCGCTGCGGGCTGTCCCCTTACGAAATTCCTTCCCTGCTCTGCCTTCTGCTGCACTCAATCTTGGAGTTGGGGCGAGAGTGACTAGTGGGCGAGCAGGGTGAATCCGAGGGGTCCTTTACCCTTTATTTTCTCTCTGTGGAGGTGGAGGTGAAGAGTGGAGGTGGAGGGAGGGTGGGGTTGGAGGGGAAGAGGAGGGAGGACCAGAGGATAGGTAAGCTTTGGGCGCTTTTGGTTTGGTGGATCGGCGAACAGAGCTGAGCGCAGGCTCCTCCTCTGATCTGATCTGGACTCTGGACGTCTGGTGCTGGGGTGGTGCCTGGTAGAGCGACTGGGGGCAGGTGTCGCTTCTCGGGATCTTTGGCTGGCGGCCTCCAGGGCTCCAGGCCAGGTTCGTCTCCTCCGGCCTTACCGCCTCCCTTGGCCCCTCGGTCCTTGGTATGGCACTGGCAGGCGAGGGGAGAGAGAGACGAGTCACGCGCTCTTGGCGGTGGCTGAGTTTGTTTCCGTGTGCTGCTTTCCAGTTCCATCGTCCTGTCTCGAGTCTCGGCGTGTGGTGTGACACCAGTCACGCCCAGCGGAGATGCCCCCGGGCGTGCATCGATTTCCTTTCCGGGCTCTTGGCAGCCAGCGGCCTACTATCACCCAGGCGTGCATCGTGCTAAAAGCAGTTGATAACCACCACACCAAGCGAACTCGTGTGATGTCAAACGAATCTTTTTTATTTACCCGCTAACACCTTCATACCTTTACGGTGAATCTCTTTTTTGTTTTTTCCTTCCGTTTTTCACTTGGTTCTGTTTTTTTATTTTCATCCATATATTTTTATTTTCCTGTTTTTGCATCAATTTTTTTCGGAACCTTAATTTATTTTATTTCCGTATTTTTCCCTTCTTTTCTCCCAAAGTTTTCGTCTACTCCAAGTTTTCTTTTCATAGTTTTTGTTTTTCACTCAAGTGTACCTCTCATTTTTATTTCTTACTTATGCTTCCGTCTCTAATACTAAACCACTTGGTCGTATTTCTTTTTTAACAAGTATTTCCTATTCTTTAAATATATATTTTCACCACTAATTTCTTGCATCCATTATATCCTTTGCTCGAGTTACATTCGTCTGTCTGCTTCCTAATCAATGTGTTTGTCACCCGTTTTGTCTTTGTGTCGGACGTGGTAGCTTTGTTCTGCTCTCTCTCCCAAACCCGTTAATACCTCTAGAGTCTCATTAGCACGTGCGCTATGGATTGTCATAGACCTATGACCCTATAAGAATCGGAGCCATCGAGAGGGCTTAGGAGATCAATAATGATGAGGCAAGGCAAAAGAGACATCAAGCATACAAAAATTATGAGGACTTGTTGTTCGGAAGACCGTAAGTGGAGCAATCGATTGACCCTCACGTGCCACTCCTTGTCAGGCTGACCTATACCAACTGTTGCGTCGTCGCGGAGACTAATGGCACAATATAGATCTCTCATGCACGCCGCTCTTCTAGATCGTTAAGGGCAGCGTAAGGGTTACATGCTCTCTCAATTACGATCGTCAGGTCACGCCTATGCCGCTGTAAGGAGCCTCATCCGCTCAGCCACCACCAGAGTCACGCCCACACGACGTTGTGCCACCCTATCATGTCGTTGCGCAGTGCTAGCCCATGTCTTAATGGTTGGTGCACCGCCGTCCTACATTGCCTGCCGTGTCCGATGACACTATGCGTGCGTGCTATTGTGGCCACTGTGCCCGCACACGGCTTCACCGTACAACCACACCTGTGACGCCGATAACGTAATAAATTGTTCTCCTGTTACAACGCATTGACATTTTTGCTAGTTACTATAAAAAAGCGAATGAATTAAAAATAGCCTCTCATCCAATGTCTCCTGCCCACCTTAATTTTTATGCCTTAGATTTACTTTAAAATCCAATCCAATGTATCTAAATCTTACCCTGAACTTTTTTATGTTTAGTCGTGTTTGTACTTAAGATCTCTCCTCGCCTCGTCTTTTTTTTTCTACGCAGCAAACTTGTACCCGTCCCTGTACCCGCGTCGGTTTCCCCTCCCCCTCCGCCACACGAGATTCCACACCTCGTCTCCCTGACGTTGTGTCGCCGCCGCCGCCGCCTCCAATTCTCTCTCCATGCTCGCCCACCACGGCAGGCTCTGGTGTGCCAACCGACCTTGTGCCGCCGCTGCCTACACTCCTTCTCTCTCGAGCAAATTCCTTCATTGCCACTAAAACATATAACACTCCCTTTACTGCCATTCAAAATTATATGTTCTCTTCACTGCCATCCATTCTAAATTTCAAATTCCTTCACTACCATTGAAGTCTAACATATAGATTTCGTTCCCTTGATTGCCATTCGTACGTATATTTTGTTTCCTCCATTGCCACTGAGGTAACGGAACGGCGTTAGAAGACTATCCCTACGTAAATGTTGTACCAATTTTACCCTCCTCCCGACGATGAAAACAGAGACCACGAGTGGTCTGCTCCCTCGTCCCAAATCTTCTCGAGCTAGAACCCTAGATCCCCTCCGAGCCACCGCCCTGCCTTGACGCGACGCTCGCCTCGACCGCACGACGCGACGCGCCCGCCTCCGAACCCCGCCTCCGACTCCACCGACCCGACGCGACGCCCGCCTCCAACTCCACCGACGCGACGCCGGACCCGCCCCACGACGCCGTGCCTCCGACCCCGCCCGAGCCTCACCACCGACCCGCCCCAAGCGACGCCCCGCTCCAGCCGTCACCCGGCCGCTGGGCCTTCCCAGCTGACGCCCCACTCTAGTTGTACCTCGGCCCGAACTGGTTGGAAGGAACCTCGGGCGACTTCGGCTAGGCTGCAGCAGCTCCAGCCGGGCGACTTCGGATGTGACGGCGACTCGGCATTCTCTCTGCGGCGCCTATCATCTCCAAACCGCCTTCCGCTTGAACGCACCGTCCTCCTTTTCCTTCCTGTAGTCTCAGTCCTAGGGTTCTTGGTGCGCGTTCTTGATTCCGCCCTATGGTTCTTGGGGCGAGGAACCGCCTTAGGTGCGATCGGATGAGAAATCCTTGTGGGCATGGAAATATGCATGTATCCGTTTCCAATATGTGGTATGTGGTTGCTCAACACCTTTCACTTTGGTCGGATGAGAAATCCTTGTTTGCTGGTTGTATATTTTGATCATTTGCCTATAATTAGTCCATTATTGTTCTATTTCATTGTGGCTGAATCTAGTTATCAATGTTACAAAAGACAGCATTGCAGTAATATGCTGGAGCCATCTTGTGGACCATTGTGACCTGTTCTTGTCAAACTAAGAATCATGTGTGAGCTTTCATTTATACTCAGCAGAAACTTTAAGTAGTCACTATGCAATGAATTAGCCATACTTCTTTCTGATGGATTGCCTGGAGTCATTTCCAGTTTGAATTATAGGTTTATTTCCTTTTTTTCATTTATTCAGGCCTCATACTAACAATCATTATACTCAGACTTAAGTAGTCACTACGCAATGACTTGGTCATGCAGTCATGCCTCTTTGCTTATTTACTGCCTACCATTATTTTTATTTTGATTATAGGTTTGTTTCCTTATTTTCATTTATTCAGGTATGATGTAAAAATTATAAATGAAAATCTATGAACTGAAATCTCTATACCTATATTTCGTGTTTAAATCTATTTTATTTTCTTTCATTAGTACTGGTATGTTCCTTTTGAGACATGAGTGAGCATTAACTGCTAGGATTGA